CGTGCTAGCTGTATCCCATAGATGTGGGTACCACTCCTTTGAGTGAAAAAGCCCTTTGTTGATCAAAGAAAAAGGGACCTTTCCCCTGAATTCTTAGCACTTCCTTGTTTGGTCTGAAAGGTCTTCAGCCCCATCTCCTTTCCTGGAAGTTATGATGTAGTCCATCTTCCTCCTCTCCACCTGCAGCTGGATCCCTCAGTGGGTGGGCACCCCTTCTCTGACTCTGCCTCATTCCTGGTCCTCTGTCTCATCAGCCAATTTCCATGTCCTCCCTGCTTCCCCGGTAAGAGTCAGTCATCATGCTGCCTCTGACCAGCAGCCGTGATTCACAGGTAGGTCAGCACCCACTAGGCTACATTCATATTTCCACCCACCTCAGCCTCTCTCCTGAACAGAAGCTAGTAGCACAGGACCCCTCCCTCTGTACTCTGGACAAAGTCCTCCTCTGACTACTGCTCTTCCCACTGGGTTCCCAGCAGCTGCCCCCAAATGTGGGCTGCCTTTGTCTGGTCTCTGATTAAAATAATAATAATGGGAGAAAGAGCTTTGAAATCAAACATACTTCGTTTGTGGCTCAACTGCTAATCTAAGATGCACTGGCTCTTAGTTTGAGAGACATGATTTTTGAATCCCAGGTTCACCACTTGCCACCTGTCTGAACTCAGGTCAGTTACTTAAGTCTCTGGGACTTAGTTCCCTTATCCATAAAACGAGAGGAATCATGACACCTACTTCCAAGGTCTCTTGTGAAGATCAAATAATGTTTTTTTCTTCTGAGACAGTAACTCTCTGTTGCCCAGGCTACAGTGCTGTGGCGTCAGACGAGCTCACAGCAATCTCAAACTCATGGGTTCAAGTGATCTTCTGCCTCAGCCTCTGTAAAGTAGGTGGGACTATAGGCACCCACTACAACACCTGGCTCTTGCTTTTGCTGAGGCTGGTCCTGAGCTTGCCTTGGCCTCCCAGAGTGCTAGAGTTACAGGTGTTAAGCTACTGTACCCAGCTAGGATCATTGAGTTTAATAACAGAATACTTTAATTTAAATTTAGGCTCATCTAGAAATGTCTGGCACATAAATATATATAAATGCTCACTATTATTATTCGTTTTTTATTTAATAAGTATATGTGTTCCCTTGCTTAAATTACTCCACTTTGCTGAGCCTTAATTTTCCTCATCTGAAAAATGTAAATAATAATGCCCACCTCAGGCAGCGCCTGTAGCTCAGTGGGTAGGATGCCAGCCACATACACCAAGGCTGGTGGGTTCAAACCTGGCCCGGGCCAGCTAAAACAACAATGACAACTGCAATTAAAAAAAAAAAAAAATAGCCAGGCGTTGTGGCAGGTGCCTGCAGTCCCAGCTACTTGGGAGGCTGAGGCAAGAGAATAGCTTAAGCCCAAGAGTTAGAGATTGTTGTGAGCTGCAACACCACAGGACTCTACCCAGGGTGACAGTTTGAGACTCTGTCTCAAATAATAATAATAATGTCCACCTCCCTGGACTTGTCAGAATTAAATGAGAGTCTATACAGCACTCAGCACAGGGTCACTCAGTGCTCAGTAAGTGTTCCATCTCCTTTGCCTGCACTAGGGAGCCTTCTCCGACTCCTCTCCTATCTAGTCACCATCTGCAAGCCCAGGAGGCAAGGGCTATGTGTTCTATTCTCCAGGGCTTTTTCTTGGATTGTCCAGGGCCCTGCCCCCAGCAGACCCTTAGAAAATACACAACCTCATCAGATTCACCCCTGCCCTCTCCATCCCTTGATATTTTTGACCACAAACATGTATCCAGGGCCTACTATCTGCCTGCTGTCCTGCCTTCTTGTCCCGTCCCCTGCCTGCTTGCCCTGCCTGCCCTCCTTGTCCCGTCCAGTCCATCCCTGCCACTGTGTCCCTAGGGGATGAGAGGTTGAGGAGCCTGCAGGCACCAGAGGGGGGAAATGAGGCTGAAGGGAGAAAAAGAGAGCTCTGAAAGGATATGTGAACATCCGATTGGAAATTCCATTTATTCCATGTCCCACATCTTGGGTATTAGGAAGAGGTCGAGTTTTGGAATCAGGCAAATAGAATGAGTCATAGTTCAGTCACTATCCCTGTGACCTTCTGACTTTTCTCTCTTTGCCTTAAAGTTTCCTTAGATATAAAATGGGCATGACAATAATAGCACCTGCCTTACAAGATTTTGTGTGAAATACATGAGATACCTGCAGACAGCTTAGCGGTATCTGGTGC